ATGTGTATAACATACTGACAAAAAAAGAGCAACAAATCCCCCTTAAATCTCTGCAGAATATGGACCGTTATCATTTAAAAAAAGGGTCGTCCTCAAAATCTCTACCGTTTTGTAGCTATGCCTGACGGTCAATCTTTTGCACTTTAAAATGGAAATTGTTTAATGGATACATCATCATCACCATCATCATCCGCAGTAGTAGTAGCAGCAGCATCATGGCTTTGAATATGTCAGGGGATGTGACAAATGAAACGCAGGGATTTCAAGTGACATAATGAAGATAGTCAATTTCAATTTTTTGTCAAATGGGTTTACACTACTACAGTTGGGGAATTTTCAAAATTTACCAAAAACAATTTTAAAAGTATCAGTCGGTTTTGCCGATAGATGTATGCCCTCAGCGAATGTTCGATTATTTAAATATATGTCGACTTTTGCTATGATTATTCAAATTGTAGGCCCTCTATGGATTTGGTTCCGAATGAATGGGCCAATATTGTCCATTTCGTATAGGACCTAAATAAATATGACATAAATATTGCAGCGTGCCAGGTTTGGACTATATTGGTTACTTCCTTCATTTTATATGAGATAAGTGATAATTTGTTGGAAATGTAGAAATGAGCCTGAGGTCTAGATATATTGGACCAAAGTATTCCAAAATTGTGGCCCTTTGTGGGTGAGGTACCAGAAAGGGTTTGCAGATATATAGGGTGAGATAAAAAAAAACTGCAACAAAGTCAAACGCCATAATTTTTACATTTTTCTTTTTAAATTTAATTGAATTACGGCAAAAATGTCGGAGATAGCATCAAATTTTAGAATAAGTTTAGATTTGTTCGAATTGGTCCCCTTTGGCATGAATTATGGCCTTCAAACGGCCAATGAAACCGTCACAAGCTGCCCGAATGTTGCTCTGCGGTATTTTGGCCCATTCCCAACGAAGCACTTGCTTAAAGTGAAAGTTGGGGTATTTTAGTATCAACCTTGCTTTCCAAAATACTCCAGACACCATAGTTCAACGGATTGGTAACCGGAGAAATTTGGTGGTCATTGTGCGCTTGAAATTTCATTTCAAGCCGAGGAACCTCATTTTGTAACAATTCTTGGGTGGCGTGTGTTGATTGCGATGGTGCTGAGTCCTGTTGGAATGTCCAGGGTTTGCGCCCAAAATGTTTCCCTGCCAAAGGCTTTAATACACGGTCCAGAATATTTTCGCGATAATATTCGGCATTTATTCTGATGCCACGGTCGATCAATACGAGCGGAGAGCGACCATTGGCTGTTAAGTTGCTTGAGTTCTGGTGGCCAACCAAAGGTGCACATTTTCAGCTGACCTCTTTGGCAAGTAAGCACGATCATTTTGCTTGTTTACAAACTGCTGGACAATGAATGTTTTCTCATCGGAGAAAACCAAATTCGGCAGTTAACCACTTTCGGCCAAGCGAAGCAACTCTTTAGCTCTTTTGAGTCTATTTTCTTTCTGTTGCGGTGTATGTTCTTGCACTTTTACCCTGAGCGCATTTTTCAATATTTGTCGGATGGAATATTGCGTTGCGGTTTTCGATCAAGTCGCTTCTTTACATTTCGAACCATTTCTGCTGATGTTGCTGTTTTTTTTTCGTCCATTTCCTTGACGTCGCCTACGCTACCAGTATCACGAGCGTAACGAGCGATGGTACGAGACACAAAAGATTTATTCACATTTAAATGCTGGAGTGCTCTAACGATAGCCACTTGTGGTATTCCAGCCAAATATAAAGAATCACACTATCGCGCTTGAATCCCATCAAGCATAACTTTTTTTTCTGAAAAATTCTCACCAAAATACTTTTGTATGCTTGTAAACAATATAATGAGCTGTTACTGGAATAATTTTAACAGCTGTCGGACGAGTGGCTTAGAAATGACAGCAGTCTGAAGTTGGAGTTTTTTTTTATCTCATAAGGACAAATTTTCATAACTACCTACATCATACAACTCTACATTCCAACTCAGTATTCTAATTCTACCCGTTCTTCAAAATTTAAATTGTGCCAATTTAAGTACCATTTAGAACACATATGTACGAGTTTCCAAAACTACCTACATAGCTCGGTCATACTATGCAATAGAAATCTTATTTCCAAATTTTTGAATTCCAGCTCTTTCGGTTTATCCAAATCGAAAAAAAAAAACGCCAAAAACTCAATATTTAAGGAGTTATGGTCATTTTAAAATATCCAATAATTCCCCCTAAAAAAGTGATCACAAATAATAGCTAAAAACGCCGAAAACTCAATATTTAAGGAGTTATGGCCATTTTAAAATAACCAATAATTCATCCTTAAAAAGGGATCAGAAATAATAGCTTAAAACGCCGAAAATTCAATATTTAAGGAGTTATGGCCATTTTAAAATATGTGATAATTCCCCCTAAAAAAGTGATCACAAATAATAGCTAAAAACGCCGAAAACTCAATATTTAAGGAGTTATGATCATTTTAACATATCCAATAATTCACGCTTTAAAAAGGGATCACAAATAATAGCTAAAAATGCCGAAAACTCAATGTTTAAGGCGTTATGGCCATTTTAAAATATGCAATAATTCCCCTAAGTACAAATTTCGAAAACTACCTCATATACCAATACTACACTCCGCTAGTAATGTTAATTTCAAATTTCAGGATACCAGCTCTATCCGTTCTTCCAACTTGGAATAGTACCAAATTTAGTACCGTTTATTACTTTTCGTATACATGAGTACACACTTTCAAAACTACCTTCATATATCTACCCAGCTCCTCAACCTTGATTTCCATTCTATATTAGAAGTTTTTACCTCTAACCCTTCACGAAATGGTACTAAGTCTAGTATATTTTAGTATGTTTAGTACACGCATAGTTCGAACTTCTATATTCAATCAGTAACCCTAATTCCAAATTTAAGAATTCTAGCTTTACTGGTTCGCCAAATACAAAGAGTACCGGATTTAGTACCATATTTATTACCATATTTAGTAATTTTTAGAACTTCGCGTACCGTTCTAGTATGAATTTCCAAAAACCCAACCGTAGCTGACCAAGAGGGACCCTCATCCCAAATTTTCGAATTTCCAGCTTCAGCTGTTTCGTCTGGTCGTTGATAATCGTTAAGTCAGTCAAATACGTTACTCTTTTATTAAAATAGATTTAACCAGTAAAGAAAGTCCTAAAGTCGGGCGGGCCGATTTTATGATACCCTACACCACTCTGCTAATTTAGTTGAGCTCCAAATAACAATTAAAAAATTTCATGGGAGAATTCAATCATACACGCTATGATTATAATTAATTTAAAGTTCTAAGGTCTAAATATGCCGAAGCATTTGTATCTTTTAAATTCGGAATTGTATTGCCCATTTGGTGCACAATTAATTTGAAATCGGATAAAGATATATATGGGAGCTTTATCCAAATCTGAACCGATCTCGATAAAATTTGGCAAAGATATTTCTGAGCTGTATTTGATATATTTCCCTGAATATCGTTGTTACGGAGTGCATATTACGGCTGTGGGTAACAATAGCTATAGCTATATCTGAACCGATCTTCACCAAATTTGACATACTAGCTTCTAGACTCAATTCGGTCGTAAGTGCCAAATTCCATCCCATTTAAAAAAATATTAGACGTTTGGTGCACAATAAAAGGTAAATCGGACGAAGTTATATATGGGAGCTATATCCAAATCTGAACCGATCTCGATAAAATTTGGCAAAGATATTTCTGAGCTGTATTTGATATATTTCCCTGAATATCGTTGTTACGGAGTGCATATTACGGCTGTGGGTAACAAATACAACAGATCAGATGAACAGTATATATGGGACCTATAGCTATATTTGAACCGACCCTCCCCCAAATTTGACATATTAGCTTCTAGACTCAATTCGGTTGTAAGTGCCAAATTCAATCCCGTTTGGGCAAATATTAGACGTTTGGTGCACAATCAAAGGTAAATCGGACGAAGTTATATATGGGAGCTATATCCAAATCTGAACCGATCTCGATAAATGCAATGTAGCAAATGTATTTCTGAGCTGTATTTGATATATTTCCCCAAATATTGTTGTTACAGAGTGTATATTACGGCTGCGGAGGACAAAAATAATAAATCGGATGAACAATATATATGGGAGCTATAGCTATATCTGAACCGATCAAATTTGGCATACTTATTTTCAGGTGCAATCTGATCGTACGTGCAAAATTCCAAACTATTCGGACTGATATTACACGTTTGGTGCACAATAAAAGGCAAATCGGACGAAAAAAATTTTACCGATTATCTCCAATTTCAATAGGGTTCGTCCTTGGGCCAAACAAATGTTGTTTGGAAAATTTCATCTCAATCGGATAATAAATGCGACCTGCATTTTGTTCACAAGAATACATGGACTGACGGACTGACATGCATAAATCAACTCAGAAAGTGATTCTATGCAGATCATCAAAAGGAACTATGGGTCTATCTCGTTTCCTTTTGCCTGTTACAAACAAATGCATAAAGACATAATACCCTGACCACTTTGTGGTGGAGGGTATAAACACTGCGTTTTAGTTGGGACACCTTTTATATTACAGAATCAACATTGACGTACACGAGACTCAAATATGGGAGAGCGATATTCAACAAACCAACTGAGGCTACAATGGAATTATGACCACCACGTTAGCCACCAAGCGATTATCTCCTTTCAGATTTACCACCACTCCTCAGAGAACCAATTCCCATCATTTACAACCCTTTGACTTTATATGATTTTTAACTTTTTATTCCACTCATCCAGCAGCTTCTGTTAACCAAATGCCATTGTAAATTTGAATCTGTATCCAACCCCATGTATGTGTGTATCTTTTTTGCCTCAATATTTATATTTACAGTTAAAAGTAAGCAAAAGCCTGTTGCTTTATATCCAAAAGAGAGAAAGAAAACAACAGAGAAAAAATAAATAAATGACAACACCAACAACTCACCTGTCCACCGAGATGCAACACAAATGCAAAATACTGGCTGTCGAAAAGTAAACATCCAGACTGTTGTAAACATTACACATGAACGGACCGAACATCCATTTGCCACCGGACAGCTCCACAGACGCATTAAATGTCATGGCACAGAGGGCAACCAGCATATCCGCCATGGCCAACGACACGACAAAGTAATTTGTGATGACCCTAGAAAATGCAAAAAACAAAAAAGGAAAGGGGAAATGAGAAACATCAGAGGAAGAGGCATGTAAAAATAACACCAACTGGATTGATAACTTTGATATGCAGATATGATATGCTGTTGACACTGCCGATGAGGTATTCGAACAATGCAAAGGAATAATCAAAACAAAAACAGAATATATTACAAATTCTTGTTATTTTCTTTTCTTATATTTTCCTTTGCCTGCAGTAGTATACAGCTGAGACAATATGGGATATTTACAATTTACGGAGATGTGTTGGGAAAGCTGATGACAAATGTGAAATCTTGAGAGGAAATATGAAAAGTGTTGAGGGGAATTTTATTCCTTAGTTTTTATACCCTCAACCATAGAAGGGAGCGAATATTGAGGTTGTCATTCCGTTTGAAACACCTCGAAATATAAATGTGTGTAAAATGTGTGTTAGGTCTGCATGACTTTTAGTATTGAAAGTGGGCTATACAGGTCCATGTTTTTGTATAGTCCCCATATAACTTTACCGAGAGATTTAAGGTTTTTTATACCCTCAGCCATATGGCTACAGAGGGTATATATCATTTGATACGGCCAAAACGTGCCTAGTCGAAATAACGGTTTTAGACCCTAGGTCTCTTTGGACCAAATCCGTTTCAGAACATTTGGAGTCGATCTAGCGATGTCCGTCCGTCCGTCCGTCCGTCCGTCCGTCTGTCTGTCTGTCTGGCTGGCTGGTGCGCACGATAACTCTCGAAGGGAGTATCCGATTTGGTCCAAATTGGCTACAACGTAATATTTTTGTCAAACTTAGATCGAGTTCGGAGATGGGCAATATCGGTCCACTCCTTCTCGTACCTCCCCCACAAAAGTTCGAAATTTTCAAAAAATTTAGTTTTTGTACAGAAAGAGAAACGGTAATCCGATTTTGCTCCAACTTTGCAAATCTTAATATTTGCGTCAGTGCTAGGTCAAGTGTGAAAATGGACAATATCGGTCCACTCCATCAAGTACCTCCCCCACAAATGGTCAAAATTTTGAATAATTACATCTCTTATAAAATGTAATATAAGAGTCCGATTGTCTTCAAATTTCAAACACGCCAATATTTATGTTAACCCAAGGTCTGATGTTAAGATGGAATATATCGGTCCATTCCTTCTGGTACCTCCCCCACAAATGGTCGAAATTTGAAAAAAAAATATTTTTTTTGCACAGAAAGAGAGACGATAATCCGATTTTGCTCAAACTTTGCAAATCTTAATATTTGCGTCAGTACTAGGTCAAGTGTGAAAATGGACAAGATCGGTCCACTCCTTCTGGTACCTCCCCCACAAAGGGTCAATATTTTTAATAATTAAAACTCTCATACAATTGATGTAAGATTCCGATTATATTCAAATTTCACACATCCCAATATTTAATGTAACCCAAGGTCTGGTGTTAAGATGGAATATATCGGTCCACTCCTTCTGGTATCTCCCAAACAAATGATAGAGATTTTCAAAAAAGTATATATTTTCTGCACAGAAAAAGATTCTATAATCCGATTTTGTTCCAACTTTGCAAATCCTGATATTTACGTCAGTTCTAGATCAGGTGCAAAAATGGATAATATCGGTTCACTCTATCAAGTACCTCCCCCACAAAAGGTCGAAATTTTGAATATCCATCACGCTCTTAAAACACTAAATTAACATCCGATTCCATTCAGAATTAGCACGACTCAATATTTTTATAAACGCAAGATCTTTTATAAAGATGGCAGAAATCAGACCATTCGTTCTGGTACCTCCCACACAAAGGATGACAGTTTTGAATAATCAAAACGAGGAAAGAATCCGAAATAAACATCCGGTTCTCTTCATATTACACACGTCCCATTATTTCTACTAACTCAAGATCTGGTGTGAAGATGGGATATATTGGTCCACTCCTTCTGGTACCTCCCCCACAAAGGATCAAAATTTTGAGTATCCACTAAGCTCATAAAACGCAAAATTAACATCCGATTCTATTCAGACTTGGAGCTTCTCAATATTTTCATCAACACAAGATCTACCAACTTATAATTGTCATAACTTGCGAAACAAGTCGGTGATTCTTAACAACTTGCTATATCTAAATGTTTCTCTTAACCAGTATTCTGATATGAATATGTAATTTGTCGGGATTTATGATTTCGCATAAAATTGGATACGAATGTTTAATTCCCTTCAAATTTTGCACATAACAATATATTTTATCTGTATTAGATGAAGTATGAAAATGGAATACTTCGGTCCGCTATATCTGTTACCTGACGCATATTTCCGAAAATGTGCACCTATCTCATATAAAGTACAAGAAGTAGCCGATATAGTCCAAATCTGCCACGTTCATAAATCAAGGCTGGGGGTATACATCTGTCGGCAAAACCGACTGATACTATTTTACTTGTTTTTTGGTGATGTAGTCACATTTTAACCCGAATTTGCTTTAAATTGGAAGTATATGTAAGAATGTTAGAAACATGCTTGTATGGAACTCAATATACGGGTGAGATAAAAAACGCCATAATTTTTACATTTTTATACCCTCCACCATAGTATGGAGGGTATATTAAGTTTGTAATTCCGTTTGTAACACCTCGAAATATACATTTCAGACCCCACAATGTTTATATATTCTCGCCTGTCCGTCTGTGGAAATCACTCTAGCTTCCGAGGGAATTGAAGTAGATTGATAAAATTTTACTCAAATGTATATTATGTCTGCAGGACTTTTGGAATTGAAAATGGGCAATGTAGGTCCACGTTTTGGTATAGCCCCCATAATATTCATCGGAATTTTTTAAAATTTGGTATTTGAAGTTCGAAATGGATGCTACAGCCTAAGACTGAAAATTGTCTTTGCAGGTCCACGTTTTGGCATAGCCCCCATATAACGGCACCTCCCGATATTCGGTATTTGATGATATTATTTCATTATTCACAGATTCTTTTTTAAGTTCCGCACTTGAATATCATAATGGCTTATGACAAAAGTTTCTTATGCAGGTGCATGTCGTCGTATAGACCCTAATGTAACAGCTACGTTCGGTATTTTTAAGTGTCATCAAATTTTAGAATAAGTTTAGATTTGTTCTAGTTGGTCGTCTTTGGCACGAATAATTGCCTTCAACGGCCAAGGAAACCGTCACACGCTGCCCAAATGTTGCTCTGCGGTATTTTAGCCCATTTCCGGCGAAGCGCTTGCTTGAGGTGATCGACACTTTGGTATTTTTTAGTGCCAACCTTGCTTTCCAAAATATTCCAGACACGATAGTCCAACGGATTGGTATCCGGAGATTTTGGTGTTCATTGTGCGCTGGAAATGAAGCGCGGAACCTAATTTTGTAACTATTCTTGGTAGACGCGTGCAGAGTGCAATAGTTCTGAGTCCTGTTGGAACGTCTAGGATCTGCGGCCAAAATGTTTACGTGCCCAAGGCTTTAATACACCCTCCAGAATAGTTTGGACAATATTCGGCATTTATTCTGATCCCACGGTCGATTAATACGAACAGAGGGCGACCATCGGCTGTTATGGCCGTCCACACCATCTGGTGGCCAACCGTAGGTGTACATTTTCAGCTGACCTCTTTGGCAAGTAAACACGATCATTTTGTTTGTTTACAAACTGCTGGACAACGAATGTTTTCTCATCGGAGAAAACCAAATTCGGCAGTTCACAACTTTCGATCAAGCGAAGCAACTTTTTAGCTCTTTTGAGTCTATTTTCTTTCCGCTGCTGTGTAAGCTCTTGCACTTTTGGAATTTCAATGGCTTAATGACCCGAGCTCATTTTTCAATATTTGCCGAATGGAATATTGCGATATGTTCAGCTCACGAGCCATTTTTCGGCCACTGCGACGCGGGTTTCGATCCAGTCGCTTCTTTACTTTTCGAAGCATTTCTGCTGATGTCGTCGTCTTCTTCCGTCCACTTCCTTGACGTCGGGCTACGCTACCAGTATTCGGTAACGAGCGATGGTACGAGACACAAAAGATTTATCCATTTAAATGCTGGAGTGCTCTAACGGTAGCCATTTGTGGTTCTGCAGCCAAGTATAAAGAAATCAGACTATCCCGCTTGAATTCCATCAGGAATAACTATTTTTCTGGAAAATTCTCACGGGGCTACTTTTGCACGCTTGTAAACTATATAATGAGCTGTCACTGGAATAATTTTAACAGCTGTCGGACGAATGGCTTAGAAATGACATTAGTCTGAAGTTGGTTGCAGTTTTTTTTTATCTCACCCTGTAGGTCTAAGTTTTATAAAAGGCCCCATATCACTGTACCACCCTATTAAATTTTGATAATTCTAGGGGGCAGTTTTCACCAAATTTGCATGAAATTTTGATTTTGAAGATCATAGTGAGTACTACAAGCTATGATAGAAAATTGGATATGCAGATCCAGGTCTTCGTATAAAGGTACCTCTCTATATTCGGTATATTTTTGCGACATTTTTCACCAGATTTGTATACAATTTCGTACTTGAAGTTTCTAACAGATACTAGAGCCTATAACTGACAATTGTATATTCAGGTCCGGGTCATCGTATAGTCCCCATATAACGGTACCTTCCGATATTCTGTATCTTGATAATTTTTGGTGACTTTTTCATCGGAATGGGTTTTATTGGGTACCACAGTCTATGACAGAAAATTGCCTATGCAGGTTCAGGTCTTCGTATAGCGCTGAAAAACGGTACCTCCCTATATTCGGCATTTTGATGATTTTAGCGACAATATTAACAGGATAGGTATAACATTTCGTTTTTGAAATTCTAAAAGGGTACTACAGCCTATGATAGAAAATGGCATATAGAGGTCCAGGTCTTCGTATAGCCCCCATATAACAATACCTCCATTCATTCGGTATTTTGTTGATATTAGCGACATTATTCGCTTGATTTTTATCAAATTTCGTATTTGAAGTTCCTAATGGATACTACAGCCTATGACAGAAAATTGCATATAGAGG